CATCGTAGCCAACAAGCGCAAAGTGAAGTCCGCTCCGATTCGACAAGATCCAGACATCACACACTGCAGACAGCCGAGCCACCTCCTCGTCGACAGCGCAAACGCGGACCACGCAAGGTCGACTTCATTCACATCTGTGATGAACTGCCAACATTCATTTTGCAACAGCAGAAGCCAGATAAAGCATCCTCGATATTGTCATCATCATCCTCTTCGTCATTGTCATCGCTGTCTTCATCGAGCTCAGGTGGCGGATCTGGCAGCACGCAGGAAGTGCCTCGTACATCTGTACCGAGTGCTGAGCGACCGGCAGCTGAAGGCCCTTTATTATATTTCCCCCAACAATGGTATGCTCCAGCTCAACCGGCTGCTCCAAACACACATACCGGACCATGGAACAATGAAGGTGCGGGTGGCATAAAGTTCAAACCTAGGTATGCACCATTCGAGACAGTGCAAAGTCATGTGGAGCGGCCGTGGAGGAGTCGTTCGAATGGGAAACATCCGACACCGAGTAATGCCCCTATTTCCCACTTGTTTGCTCTATGTGGGTGGTCTGAGGGGGAAGTAACTGTGCTCTTTGATTCTGGGAGAACACCCACTAACCGCTTCCGTGTTGACAGACTGTGACAGCTCGCCCGAACGTGTGAGGGGAAACCGGAGACAGCAGACGAGAAATAAGAAATCTGAAAGGGAGAAACTTCGAAGACAGCCGCACAGTCCGAGAAGGCACCAGGATAGCGATGCCTACAAGACTGGGAAGACGCAGACAGCCGCACATGATAGGAAGCAAACGACTTTGAGAGAGAGTAAAGACGCACCAGCAGTAGTTGAAGGAACGAATGGCGACACGCCAAAGAAGGAACAGGAAGAGGAAGAGGAACCGAAGCCATGTCCAGAGTCTATAAAGACGGCGCTGTGCGAGCCGATGCCAGTGCCTGTCATTGAAGAAGCTTCAACGCCAGGTTGACGAAGTTTCCATAGACGAAGATTAAAGTTTCAATACAATCTCCAGTGCCTGTACATGTTTTGTTCGTAGAAGGTGGTCAAAGTCGACGATGGTGGCTAATGGGACTGCGCGATGAGGGAGCATCTGAAGTAGAGCAGGACGAGCGAGTGGGGTTGTGTATGTACCGCTATGTCGACCCCTGTCGTGCACGGACTGCCAACGTCACCGTTGGGGTGCGTGAATGCCTGGGGAGCTTCAACACCTTTGGGATGCCCGCCAGACACGCAGCTTCGTCCCCTCCAACACACACCCTCTCCCATTCGCTCTGTGCCACCAACGCTTGTCCCGCAGACGCCCGTCTCTGCCCTTGACACGTGACTCGGCAACATGTGGGACGACGAGGACAACAATCCATATGGATCTTTTGCCCGCCATGACTCCAACGCTTCAGACGGGCCTGGCCTGGCCTCGCCTGCTGCCCGTGAGGCTCCCAGACATGCCGTGCAGTAGAGGAGAGCGCCCCCGCTAAACCATGCTCAGTTCCCTATCGTCCCGCGACGCCGCCCTCGGACGCTTCTTCCTCGCCCGCCCAGGAGTCCCCCGAGTATGTCTCGCAGCGGGACATGAGCGATGTCGACTACGGCGAGGAGCAAGACGACGGCGGCGAGACTGCGCCTCCCCGGAAGGGCGGCTACGACGCACGCGTGGAGCAATGGCTGCACGAGAACCCCGGCCAGCTCGTCTTGATCACCAGCGCGGGCAAGGACGGCGTCAACTACATCCAGTACACAATCAACTGTGGCGGCCTCGAGGTGAAGCGGCGCTATTCCGAGTTCGCCTCGCTTCGCGCCTCGCTGGTCAGCCTGCACCCAACGTTGATCATACCCCCGATACCCGAGAAGCACACCATGGCAGACTACGCCGCCAAGCCGACCAAGGCAAAGGAAGACGCCGGCATCATAGAGCTGAGGAAGCGCATGCTGGCAATGTTCCTCAACCGCTGCAGGAAGATGAAGGATGTGCTCGAGGACGGCGTCTTCTGGAGATTCCTCGATCCATACACCAGCTGGGTACGTCCTTTATAGCTTGTGCTGGCATTGTCCCGTGCTGACTTGATGGCCTGCAGAACGATGTTCTCACCAGCCCTCCAGTTTCCAACATTCCCAAGCAAATCCTCAAGGCGCCTCCACTCGACACCGCAAACCCCACTCAGGCGCACAGCTATCTGCCGGTGCCTTCCTCGTCTGCCAAGCTCAAGTCTGGAGGGCCAACCTCCAGTTCAGGCACGCCTGCTTCTCCAGCAAACAACGCATCCATGCCCTCAGCTGCTGCACACACGACACCAGGACCACAGATCTTCGGCCGCTTCCCACCAGAGACGCGCGACATGTCGGAAGAGGAACTTGACCCGTATTTTGTGCACTTTGAGACGTCATCGAAAGAGCTGGAAACGCTCCTCCAGGGTCCTACGGAGAAGGTCAATCGGCGTTTGTTGATGCATCTTGGGAACTGGGGAGAAGACATGGCGGACCTGGGCGCAAAATTCAATGCCTTCTCGCTCTCCGAACAGACGCAAACACTCGCTTCAGCCATCGAGAAGACTGGCCAAGCTGTAGACTCCACATATATTGCAACGACGGAACTGTCATCATCGCTGAGCGCAAGTTTCGCAGAGCCCATGCGTGAGAGTGCGCAGTTTGCTGGTGTTGTTCGCGCCGTCCTCAGATATCGGGTGCTCAAGCGGATACAAGAGGACATGACAAAGGACGAATTGGAGAAAAAGCGCAGTCTGCTTGAATCACTAGAGCGTAGTGAAGCCGAAGCCAAACGTTTGGAACAGCACCTGAGCGGCGCTGGCCATGTCCCGCCGGACAATCGAAGGAGAGCAGCGTCTAATAGCTCACAGAGAAGTGGGGGTGAGCCTGAGCACCGGAGGCCTGACGAAGATAGAGCTTCAATTGATTCAGACTTCCCACCAACACATGGTGATGTACCTTCGAGCGCTCAGGGTATCCCAGAGAACGGTAACTCGCCCCCAGGAAGCCCGCATAGAAAGACAGCCAGTGGCAATTTTGTCACGAACAAGCTGTTTGGTTCGATTACACATGCCTTCAGAGGTATGGCAGACGTCGATCCAGAGAAGACAAGACGGGACCAGATTGGAAAGACACGCGATAGCCTAGTACAGGTAAGACGGCATGGCTGTCAATCAAGGAAGAGACTGTTTACTGACTGTCCTTGCAGCTCGAGCAAGCGTTAGAAGTAGCAGAAAAGGACACCAAAGACGCGAGCTCAGGCGTCATGAAAGATCTTAGGAGGTTTCAGGCAGAGAAAGAAGATGATCTGCGACGGTACATGGTAAGACTACACTTGCAACCACTCCATGCTTTGCATCTCCCCATTGACCATATGTAGATGGAGTTTGCACAATGCCATGTCGATTGGGCAAAACGAAACAAGGCTGCGTGGGAAGAAGCAAAAGCAGAAGTCAATAACATCACGATACAAGCTGAGGAATATCAAAGAAGTGCCGAGGAGTTGTAATGGTATGGAGAGGTAATGGCTGGGTACGTTGTAGTCTAAGGCGGCGATACGTTTGCATAGCCAAAGGCGACTGCAACTTGATTGACCAGCTGCTGGTGGAATTGATCAGCATCAAGCATCGTTCAAACAACGTTCCGTGTGTGAGGTTTACACTTTGGTAGAAATCGCTTCAAAAGCCGTCCTTTGCTGCTAACAGGTTGTAGCGAAATCTTGCGACGCTCTTGTCCGGCTATGACGAGGTATTGAGCCAGAGTTGAGTCCGTGACTATGGCTTCGAATATTTCGAGTCGGATAGAGAAACTTGTTACTTTTCATGCATATGCTCTGAGATTGCTAACCGTTAGTAACATTGTACCGAAGCCGTGAGCCGGCAGCCATGCACTAGAACATGATGTTACGGTTATAATGGACTCTAGAGCTGACAGTTGTAATTCGGTGCCATTCTTTGTATGGGTTGATGCTCCACTTGAAAGATCTCTCGAGCTTCTTGTGTCAAGTTCGTCGGAACCTCGGACAAGTATTACGAGTACCAATGTTAGGGTTTTCGAGTTGTCCGATGAAAAGATTTGACTTGAGTCACGACAAGTTGGAATTGGGAAATGCGAGTATACTACACGCTTCAAGCATACTTTCTGGGCGATGTTAGATTTAGTCATTCAACGACGCCAACGGAATGACTGATCGTTTGGCAGTTGGTCTCGAGTTGCTGACCATTTGACTCGATCTTAATTTGACAGGAGCGTTACGCATTATACCCCTTGTAACGTCTGGCGCAGCGGAAGAAAGTCGCGCTCATGTCCAGAGAACGCTCCATCAGTTTATACAACATTCATATTCCCAGAGTCCATGGCGTGCCCCAGTATACGCTTCTAGGATTGAATGCAGGGCTGTAATTACTTGTACAGCTGTAGCCGCGAAGCTCGTTCACATGACCTCCTTAGGTACTACAAAATGTACGTATTCATAGAAGGCAGACTGTTTGACTAGAGAATTCCAAGGAAGCTATAGAGTGCTGAGTAGCTAACAACAGCTTCTTACATTGAGGCTAGACATCCCACGCTGCCTGCTGCAGGAGAAGCGGGGTAGACTTTTAACTGCAAACACAGACGCTTGGATTTTGCAACATCGTTCTCTCCGCTAAGAAAAGGCGAAGGTAGGGAAATGCTCACTGATGTAGTCACTAGTTATAACAGCAGAGCTGTAATCATGTCTAAACAATTTGTTGCCGATCAAAGTCTATTTGAAAGTCATTCTGAGTGATGGAGAGAGAATGTTCCTGGTTGGCCAACTTCCCACTACACTGCAAAGTATTAGGTTTAAATCAAGAGTGGTTGCCCTCATTAATTACCTAACTCAAATCTCTATCTAACAATTGAGTTATGTGTATATCTGGGCTAACAGATATAGTGTAGTTTAGTGGGGTGGGGGCAAAAATTGGATTTGTCGCCGCCACCTCGACGCATCTTCCACCCACAATCCCCAGGACTGCAAAATGATAAAAAAGAACTAGCTGTCGCACGTTTCGATCGTGCGTCCTCCGGGTTATGAGCCCGGCGCGCTTCCGCTGCGCCAGACAGCTTCTCAAGTCTTTGATTGATGAAAGGTTGGGGCATTAGGAAAAAAATATCGACGATGAAAATGGAGCCCAACATGACCGCGTCAAGCCCTTACAGCGGGTAAAGGCCCAAATTGAAAATCATGTGAAGGGGAACGTAGCACTGAAGTCTCTGACAATGAGTCACATATCCATAGGCCGATGTCGCCGAGTAACTAACCCTTGTATCCGTTCGGTGACCCACTACAAAGACCTGAACACCACGCTAAGAGCATTCCCTTCTTTATCGATATCACAAAACGATCAATTCCTGTCACAAGATCCTCTTCAAATCAGAATTTTCAGCATTTACTCAACCCTTCAATCACCTTGAAAATGCCCCTGAACTATCATCTCCCAAGCCCCTGAATGCAATCCGTCCATGACTCCTCAAAACCTCACACACCGTCTCAGGACTCAATTCATACCCACTCTTCCTCCACCTCGCATTCAGCCAATCAGCCAACGCATCTGCCGAGCAGCTGAATCTCCTCGTATCCCACTCATGCAGAATCAAGTCGACAATCGGCTGATCAGGCAGGGGTTCCGGATTCGGGTCCTGCAGCGGCACGGATGACAGCGGCATGGGCAGTGCACGTGGAGGGAATATGTTCTCGTAGGCGGTGAGGAAGTGCAGTAATGTGTGTTCAGTGTTTGGCCGCGAGGCGATTGTCATGCCAAAGGGCTGGCCGTTGAGTTTCAGGGCGGACAACGGACAGGCGGCGGTGGGATAGCCGGCTGCAGCGGCGAGGGAGGAGAGGGGGGCGTCACCAGGTGCGACGATCACGTCGAGGGATAGGCTGGTAAAGAGGAAGTCGAGGCCTTCGGGGCCGCCGGCGGTCTGGAGGTGTTGGCGTGCAGCATTGATTTCTTCGCGTTTGGTGTTGGCCTGGTGGGCAGCCATGAGGTCATTCTGGCTAGGACATGCTATACACGATTAGTACTGATGAGGGGCTGAAGAGGAGCGGGCTCACTTGGGGGGAGACAAAGCTCAGGGTGCTCAAGGTTGAAGTTGATGATTTCGGCGAGAGAATGCATCTTCGTAAATTTGAAGTCACGGATGAACTCTGTCAGACAGTCCTTGAACTCGGAGTCTAATATGGATCAGTAGAGGCAATATTGCACCAATTGGGGACTCCTCACAAACGACGGGCTCGAAGCAGTTTTTCCCGTTAACGGTGAGACTCGACTGGTTGGGCAATTCTACGGGATACACAACATCGACGCCTAGTTCAATCATACCCTGAACGATCATATCGTACTTTTGTGTCTACAGCATCATGTCAGCACTGCATACCAACTAAACGAGACATCCTGGTACATCACGATGGCTGACGTGAGCAAAATCGGACCTAGATAACTCACCATGAATCTCTCAGCATCAGCATTGATCCTACCTGTCTTCCGCCAAGCCTTCCAGATTGTTGGTTCGCAGATCCCGATCCTAAGGGTACCGAAGTCTGGCTTGATTTTGAAGGGCCTTCGGGGTGCTCTTACGCAATCCTCCTGACCCGAGGGCATCATCATGGCGTCCATCAAGGCTACAAGATCTTTCGCTGATTTCGCCTTTTATTGTCAGCTATGGTCACTGTACGTTCTTGGAGCACTTACCATGCCGCCCACAGCATCAAAGGTCTTGCTCAAGTTGAAGATCCCGTCCATCGGTACTTCGCCAGCGGTTGGTTTCAGCGCGTACAAACTTGCGCGGTTAGCAGGAGTGATGAGTGATCCAATCGTATCAGTTCCAATAGCGAGGGTGCTGAATCCAGAAGCTACCGCTACAGCTGATCCAGTAGATGACCCACCCGGAGCAGAAAGCTCCCAATGCAGTTTTCTCTTCGCGATGTGTCTTGAAACATAGGGCGATTGACACTGTCCTCCGACTGCGGACCATCCCGGTGGCATTGAGGGATTTTTCAGGCCACAGAATTCTGTCAGGTTGGATTTTCCAAGAATAATCATGCCGCTATTGAGCAACCTCTCGACGATCGTCGCACTTTTCTTGGGTATACATCCCACGAACGCATATGAACCTACGCACAAGAGTGAGTCTATTGGCCGCTTATAAGCGTAACACGAAGACGTACCGACTGTAGTATCCATTCCCAGCTTCTCGTCTGTCATGATGTTGTCTTTCAGGACAATTGGGATCCCATGCAGCGGTCCGCGGATTTTCCCTATTGCGCGCTCATCATCAAGCCTCCTAGCAACCTTCAACACCTCGCGTTTGGGCGCCACCGATATAAGGGCTCGCAATTGTCGGCCCCTCCTATTGTGTAACTCAATCTCCCGAAGGTATAACTGCACAATCTGAACGCTGGTGATAGCTTTTGCGTTTAACAACTCTGAAAGCTCGAACGCCGATGCTGTAAGAGGATCGAATTCTGGCAGCCATGTTTCATCCGCCGACGATGTGAAGGATGCTTTGCGCGGGCTGTTCGACTCGGCAATACCACTCGGCGGCCGGGCCTGGTTGACGTTTGGTGCAAGCGCCGTCTTCAGATACTTGAACACCTTCGGCATGTTGATCGAACACTATGCGTACGATGGCGCGATGGAAAGTTGCCGGAGAAAGGGAGTGATGTATATGAAAGATAAGAATCTATGGACTTCAACAAGGGATCTCAGACATGTGGAACAAAGTATCAGAGGATCGACATGTGAGATAAGCGTTGCTGGTTGTAGAGGGAGAGGACTCCACGCGTTTGCCACGAACCTGGGCTGCACTAGACGATGTATATTCCCCAGGAGACAACTCTGGAACGAACACAAGTGGCTGCGGATTCTGCGCGCGCACTCTTGTCATCCTAGCTCCACCGAATGGAAGGCTCGCCTCCGGACATCCTGGTTCATGGCGTCCATAAGCTCAGTGTGGTCATGCTGTTGGTGGCTTCCACCACCAATGGAGTGGAAATGCACCTAGTAGGGTCATCAACGCATGTCGCTTATTCGCAGAAATGCCGAGCGCCTTGTGCTTTACCTAGTAGTAGTACAACAATTTACCCGGGACGCAGGGCCGCACGGAGCTATAGACGGCTGAGACCCTTGCGTGACCATGATGAGTGCAGGACAGCGTGGCTGCTCGTCTGCTTCTAACCAATATCTGGGTACAAATGCAGGAGCTGGCGTGTGATGCTGCTACTGTTTCGTGAAGCCTGCTGTGCCATCGGACTTTTATGTCATATAGACCTTAAGATCCAGAAGCATGCCCCGTGTGTGCTATGTGAATACGTCCTGTTGTACTGCAAGAGGAACCTTACATCTCGTGATCTTTTGCATATGAGTGTCGTGTCAGCTAATAGAGCTGCACCCAGGAACATTTAGAATGACGTTTATACTTCCCCTTTCTCAAGGCCATAGTAGAAGATATGTCGCTGTCTCTAAAAGCAGTTCAAGAAAACAGTAGGCCCTCCAGGCTGCAAGCCGAACGGTGGCACAGCAAAGGCGATTATCTTCGCGTCAGCACCATCTTCGCTTTCGCGTGGGTGGAGATGACGCGAATTGGGTGTGGTCAGGAGTGGAGTGTGGACCCCAGACCCTTGCAGGCTTGCTCGATGCGCGTTGGGGTTTGGGCGAGGTTGGTCGCGTTGCTTTGCGGGGGATCGACTCTCAGGATCCTCGTGACCCAAAACCTAAGATCATAGGCCATCGCTTGAAGCACCACGCGATAACAGAGACAGAGTTGCGGTATTTTGACGTGTCAAGCCAACAGTATAGTACGCTCTGACGAGAACAAGCCACTCAGCCTGACATAAAGCCACCCCGGAGCAGCTCAGCCGTGAAAAGGGTGGAAGAACTCGGTTGGCGTACCGCGGCACGGTGCTCTAAGACCCTCGAACCACCCTGTCATGCGGCAAAACTGGAAAGACAGCCTTGAAGTGGCCGTCACATACGCGCAAATATTTTGTGGTGTGGCCAGACGGTCGTCGACGCAACTCTGGCAATGTGCCAGGTGCCGGCCCCACCCTTTCAATATCGACGCCACGCTGCTCATATTGTCGCCCAGGTAGGTACACGAAACATTCTGATCAAGTGATGCCCTATGCGGAAGACATTTGCTGGTCCGGATCGTACTAGAGGCCTCGATTTAATATACGACTGCCGCTGAAAAGTGAAAAGCCGGCCCAGGGTTTGGACAGGAGAGGATGCAACACACGGCTCACACCTGCGTGAGTGTCGACAGTGAGTCAGGTGAAGTAGCCGAGTATGTAAAAGTAGAGTGTGCTGATATGAACGATAAAGATCATCTTCAAGACGTACACCATGTTGTGCAGGTCAACGTTTCTGCATGATAACCATACCATATTGCCGATCGCAGCACTTTAGCACATGGAACGGACGCCGCGATTATCGTCGATCAGCCTTCTCAACTCTCGGTACGCGAAATCTGCACTCCTCGTCTTCTGCAAGATCGGGTGTGCTCACGAGTACGAGTGCATCTTCCATATGGTGAATCACCTTTACATGCTTCAATGACTTCAGCTAACGTGTCTTTGAAGCACCGGTATGGCCTCTAGGCTAAGCTTACAGAAAGCGAACAAACTTGTTTCGATGTAACTGAGGTCTCAAAGAAGTATACAACACTTACCCTATATCTGGTTAATCCAGGATGAAAGCGGCACGAGATCGCCCTTCACATGTTCAACGACAAAGGCAGACTTGTGGAGGACTTCCGAGAACATTTATGACAGCGGTCGCGCACGCAGATAACATAGAGAATCAAAGCACCGATTACATCCGAAATTGAAGGAGCGGGGAGATTTCATCCCGTCGTGGTGCGATATTCAATCAAATCAAGCAGAGAAGGACGTCGACAGGCACCTTCCATGTCCACGAGCAACGGCAGACTTACGCAAGATAATCGTGAGAACGATGAGACTTTGCCAGCCAATCTCATGACGGTATAATCGATCAGTTCGGGTAATCGAATCATTTCTTAGGCTGACCAAAAGGGAGGCTGCCAGCACCAAACGAAATGCAGCCGA